CCAGCCCTTTGGACTGGTGAAGGCCGGTGGGCTCCTACAAATCAGTCTGCAGATGCATGAATATCACCATGTCAAATTTGATACCACATAAAGTGTGCCAATGTTTCCGTTTAATTTTAATATTACCACAGGCCGCACTTGACATCTTGGGCCACATATCCACTTGTGCGATTTGCTTGTAGGTTAAGCACCTTTCCACCAGTTTGCATGGCCCCACAGTATAAAAAAGAAAGCGGTTTAGAAGTTGTATTGAGAGTTGAATAGCTTGCCCATATCGGAATCAATGTAGAAGCTAGTACAAGCAATTCTAAGCAATAGTCGATAATTTTAAGTAAACGATAGAATCAATGCGAGTATGTTGATCTCATGTTTTGCACGCAGTCCGCTAAAAAGTCAAAACACCATGTTAAATACGCGGTATCTGGTTTAGAGTGCGATAGCGATGTCAATGTGGGAGGAACAGGAGCCACCACAAATGTGGCATGTCAGCAATTTGTCAAGTGTTGTATTCTCAAGGTTAGCTCATTCCGTGTTTCAGTAAATGGCTATACGACAATAAGTGGTGTGATTCTGTTGCACTGTGAATTTCAGATGTCTTTGAGTTGAAGTGTTAGGTCTCAAGCATACATCATCACTCACATTCTACAGTGCGGCTTCTTGTTGAGCATCTGGCATTTAGTTCTACGGTTTGCCTTTGGAAGGAAAACATTTGCTAGAGAGATCGATTGACAAGGATCAGCAATTATGTACACAGAAATATTACCTCGACGTCTGCTGCTAGGGTGTCGTCCGTGGCGTTGCGGTTTCTCTAATGCAAAATCAGGATTTCATAAATTATTTGCACGAAATCTGACGCACAGACCCAGCTGTGCAAATTTGTCAACAACGAACTATGATACGTAGTTTTACACATTACATGGACATAGATTTGTGCGGCTTCGCAACGATCTGTTCAGAAGATTAAAATGAAGTAAATGACTTGAGCGCAACCTCGAATGTCAGTAAAGGAGACTAGACGGTTTGGGTGTGGGTGGAAACGGTACCACGCTCAACATCGATGCAAGTATTTTGCGTAAACAAAACTTCATACGGAAACATGCCATCCTGGCAATGTTATGCCATGCCTCTTAAATGAGAACAGTCACAATCTGAGTTCGAGGTGCCACAAGGAAAATCCCAGATCCATATTCCCAGTGTCGTGCAGGTTGCATCATCACCACTAGCATGGTGTTTGCACCATAATCACTGGATATTGTCTTCACAGTTTCCTTCAACAATGCAGTGATTATTTCCCTTGCATTGTGAAAACACAGTGTCGACCTTAGCTATTCTCCTCAGAAACACTCCCATGTCATAATAATCCAGCAGTCAGGTGAGAGATCATGATTACAACTTAAGCACCAAAAGACTGCAAAAGGTGTAGTTAGATGTGAGGTTCGCTAGAAGATGCTAAATAGGCTAATTTTACTGGTCATTGTCAGCAGTGGGCACTTACGTGATTTTCGTTTTGTGTAGTCATCTAAACAGAACAAAACAACGCTGACGCTGTGACGATTCCAATGAACACAGCAAATGTTTCGTTTTGCTCGCACCAGTGGAAAAGTAGTGTTAGAGTAAGTAGGGGTTGTACTTACCACAGTCACCTGTCGTGAGATCGAAATGGAAAAATTCAAGTTAACGCCATGCATACAACCCAACTGCATCCTTCCTAGAGAATTTAAGTTTTTCGATTACGGCTATAAGAAAATTCTTCAAATTATTTCAACACCCTGCCTCCACAACATAAAGTACTATTGTGTTTAAGAATTCAGCTCAGATGCAAAGGAATTGAGCGAGATATGACCACACTTGTGTTAAGGCACGTTAAATCACCTTGATCCTGTTTCGCATGCCTTTTCTTCCTCGCTAGCCCTCAGCAAGTTCAGCTAGTGGGATCAGAAACTCTCTGTGGACCAGCCGCATACTACGCGCATGTCTGCTCTCGAGTACTTGAAAACGTGCAGACCGTGGAAAAGCAGCGCGACACTTACCGCCGGTGCCATGCTTCCCTACCCAAGTCATCGTCTAACAACGCACACGGCTTGTGTCTGGAAGCACAATTACAAGATATACTTTGTGCCAACAACTAAAATTCTTTTGTATTTATTACTAATTTGTGCGCACAAGCACTTTGTTTACGGTCGCATGTGCCGCGTAAATCTGAAGGCTGCTACCACTCCACAAATAAGTAGTAGTTGCTCCAGATAGAGTGTGCAGTGATTGCATAAACCGAATTATTCACTGACATCTGTATTTTTCCTTGCAATTGCCCTCAGAGGGTCCTGGGTACGATGAATTTGAAGAGCAAGATGATTGAGACGAAGAACCACAGGATGAAGATGAGGAGCACGACGACAGACTCGATGATGACGACGAGGCCGACGACGAATTTGACGATGTTGAGGACGATGAGGAAGATGAAGGCGATGAGGTAGAGGAACTCGACTCACAGCAGCATTTGCACTGATCTAAATATTACAACATTAATCTCATTTATAGGAGTTTTATTAAACTAACCTTAAACACAGTACTACGCAGTGCCTGTTCAATAGTGCCTCACTAAATATGGCATTGTTTATACCTGGTAATTGTGAATGAAGTATAGTTAGTCACAAAATTAATCTCTCATGCAAAGGTGCAGAATTACACATCGAAGAGTTTCAAGTATGGGCTTTACCCCAAACACCAGATGTGTAAAACTGACAACTTCGCATCACCTGCTTATTCTACTTATATCCGTTAGAAAGGCGGGTCAACAAGCAGACACTCCATATCTACAAGAAACTAATTATATCTTTATTCAACATCCTATTTAACACTTAACAGAAGGCCAAAACTGAGAAACAAATATTTTTTTTACAAACGTTGTATGCAATTAATACCAATTAGTGGGTTCACACATTGTGGTCATTATGCGGTGTCTGGTTTCCAATCACCAATCGTTGCATACTTACATTCAGTCGATTTTCCTTTCTTGCGTGACGATGCTGCAAATGAGATCAATTGAAGGCATTTAAATGTTAACTAAATGGTCCTAAGGCTTTGAATAATAGACTTACACTTTCGTTTCTTGTACTTTTTTAGAGCAAGACCTAAAATAAAACGAAATGATTCTGAACCCAAAGGTATTTAAAATTGCAACCTAAACCTCCTCACTTGGCATAGTGAGGCTCATTTGTCAAAATCGACAACTTACATGATAAATCAAGTCCGAGTTCTTCTAAAATGAGTTAAGATGCATAAAAGGTTGACAATTGAACAGCATTCGAAATGAACGTATTATCGTATAAGTGGACATGAGTTTGTAGTTTATCGGAGAAAAAAATCACTTTAGATAGTCTTTGCGTTGCCAACATTGACTATAACTAATTAAATCCAAGTAGCATATGTTCGATAACATAACGCTTTTAAAAAACCGGGTACATAAAAATTGTTTCTGGCTAAATTTTAAGAAAGACAGTAGCCTGCAGCTAATTAACTTGCATTTATTAGATCAAACTGATCAAACATCTAAACGATTAATTTGAGATTATTTAATTACATTGTATCATCATAAATATACGTGAGTATAGCTTACCATCTTTCATTTTGCGCAAAGATTGGTTTGGAATTAATTTCTTAGCAGTACATGCTAAAACAAATTCAGTAAATTTTTTTATTGGACATTAAGCAGTGTGCGAATTTAGTTTAGGAGTTTATAATGCCATCGCAACATAGTATCAGCCTACTTTAAATGAAGCACGGCGCTTAGATATGCAGTTAGGTTGCTAAATTATAGATAAGGTTAAGTTTTTATTCGTATTTGCAAGTCAAAGCAATGCATTATTGATGTGCCATTTTCAAAAGTGCATGTGTACTGTGATCAAATTGGTGCATTCTGATGGTAAAGCCAAGCAACACAAACATTGCAACTAAGCATTTCAAAGTCATTCCACTGACTGAAATAACCGACACTTCCATACTGCCAGGAAATGAAATATCACGTTGGTGACATCTATCTAACATCACACTGCACTCCATATAAATAATGCTGGTTGAGAGACTAGGACAGTGTGCATAAGGGCACTGAATTACCAGCCGTAACCCAAACTTTGGCCTCTATCTGGTTAATCTTTGCGGTCCCCAGTACACTGATGTCTTCAAGCAGACAGTTGTCCGTTGCCAAAAAATCTTTGGTTGGCGTTAGTGTTAGCAGTGCCGATTGTGCTTGAATCAAAGCAGAAAAACGCACAAGTTACCAACCCATCATAACAAGTTAGTGCAGCGGAAGAAGCGTTTAGGTAATAAATTACATCGATTTACCCTTTACTGTTGAGAACGGTTAATGGAAACATTGTTAGACACCTTTGAATTCGTAACCCGAGGATATGGAATTCGCCTACTTGTAAGCTTGTGAGATGCAACAATGAAAGCCCTTCTTCGAAATTTCCTATTAGACTACGTTCATTTCAATATCTAAGCCATGTCATTGGTTGTTCTGTTGCAGTGCAAAAACATTTACTGTCATTATTCCTACCATAAACATTTTGATCAAGATGCATTTGCAGTATTGCCTAATTCCTGCAAACGAGGTTGTGGGATTTGTTCTGAGGACCGCTTGCTAACGACTAGGACCAATTTACGTGAGGCTTCTACTTCATAGGCAATGATATGACAAGAAATCTCGACTTTCCAACTAAATCAAATACCGCTCTAATGGACTTTCATCGTGCTGCAACCAACATTCTTCTGTGTGAACCTTCGGCGATACCACTCTCCCAGACAAAATCTGGCTTCTCCTAGATGCCACGAATTCTAATCTGTATCGTAATGCGCATTCAGAGTGAGCTGTATTTGGTCAATTGTAGTTTTTGGTTTTGTACTTATATGCAACAAGATGGTGACATTATGAAACACGAATGAAGCAAAGAATCAAAAGTAGTCTGATTGAATCGAGAACACTTACAGTAATAATCTAAAGGAAAGAAAAGGCATGCTACCGTTAGCCTTAGCGAGGTCGCACGTAAATGCAAATATGTCAGGTCAAAATAACAATTTGCAGTGATTCAAAATACATGGAATTCCACATCTTCATTTATAACAAGTAGCTATTTTTACATGCACAATATTGACAGACTTTGGGTTGGCCATTGACTTCTCAATTGTGGTTGAGTGGGACGTGTTAATTGGGGTCGATCTTGGACGTATTTAGCAGGGTAAACACGTCAGAACACCCAGCATTTCGGGGAGCAGTAATGGTTCAATATTGTTTAAGTTATTTGTGTCCATCAACATATTATTCCAAATGACATTAACGAGTTGTTATTTGCACAATCATGGTGGGCCCATATAACGCCAAACCGACATAGTCAGTATTTGTATTTGCAATTGACAATCGACCACTTTAACCCAAACCACTCAAATTGCGAATTAAATTATAATGTTGGCACGTTTTAACGCAAACCTTGCGCTTTCATGTCCTTAGCGCAAGCACCGGACCAAAGTCGTGACTGTGTCCAAATGGACAATATACGCCTAACTGTCTACCAAATGCATTTAAAACTAAATTTCAAAATTAAAGAAGCCCAATCTTTTGAAGTGTTTGTTTATAGCAATAGAATCAAAATAGTTTTTTTCTTTTCCGAACTGAAGCTGTGCTTTGAATATTTCACACGTGTTAATTTAAATATCATGAAGGCCTAACATGCTTCTTAAGAGAGTAATATTCCAGGTCTATTTTGCAGCATTAAAAATTATAACTGCTTTGTTATTTCCAAAAACCATATTTTGATATCCTTTTAAATTGCATTACTGCCAATTCGTATCACATAAATATCCTCATTTGCGCTTTAATAAAGTTTGTATGAAAGGGAAGTTTTACTTACCCGGCTCCGGAATGATTTTAGCGTATTTCATCTTGGAGTAAGGCCAACTAAACCAATGCTTGCGGTTACACTTTGTCTTCTAATTTCGTTGTGCGCATTACGTGCTCAGCGAATCGGTGTGATGCGTGGACCCACGCATTCACAATTAGGGTTTGTTTAGAACAAATCAAATAATGCGGCAATAAAACTGGCTAAGCCGAATTCTTATAAGAGCGGAACAGACCTGAATTACCTAAGGCCTCTTGTTTTTCTACTATTCTATGATTTCACTTGCCACTTTTTTAAAAATAACTGTTGTGTAGAAAAATAGCAGTTTTTAATTACTATATATGCTGTGAATGATAAAACACACAGATAGGGATTGCTGCATTGTACGCAGGTCTAAGCTTGGTCTCGCATCGTTCTTTAACGATTTGCAAGTCCTGACATGCGGTCTCAAACCACTTTGCGGATGCCAAGTTGAATGGGCCTGTTAATGCCTGGTACATACTCGTGAAGATCAGAAGAGGGCCAGCGATAGCAGATAACCGTTTATATGAAAGCTTAACCTAGTTGTATCGTGCCACTGCATACAAAACTCCATCTGACTAAATGAGGTTGTTGATCAGTACAGTCTGGATGAACCTGCAAAAGTACAAATGGCTGAAGGGCCAGGTGAATGAAACAGGTGGTGGATGAATATTACTCGCAATAGGGTTTATGAGCAGACGTTTTCGACATCGACGCCGTGAAAAGGCGGTAAACGTGGCAAGGAGTGCAATGACTTAGTTAATGGTCATAAATCACCAGGAATCACTAAAACACAAATTGATTACCGGCCCTTGTGCATATCATCTCTCACCTTTAAAGTATAACCAGCGGCTGAAAGAATATTTTAAAGTATAAAAACACCGTTACTTGTGACTTCTAACAAGGGTCTAACTACTCCAATTTCACCTGGTCGAACGCTCGCATCTCTGTCAAACTTCCCAGTTCAGCTTCAACCCTCAACTACAGTTTATGCCAATCGAAGCTCATTTATGTAATTTGAAGATAACATCCCAGCGTTACATGTAATATCATGTTAATCCGCATCTTCAGACAACTGTGTTTCCTCCTTTTATTGACTGTTTTAGTAAACCCACTTTTCATTATCGAGGTAAGCCATTGATTGCCATCATAACACCTTCACTACATGAACACATTGGTCGATGACTAAATTCTACGTGAGTCGTAAGCTGTCTGTCTCTAACACAAAAGTAAATTTCCTCCTCCAGAGCCCTGCATAAACTTGAAAAAGCCGAAAGAATCAATTTTAAGGACAACAAGTAACTTCACTATTTATATTTCACCAAATTACAAATTTCAGTTTAATGACAACAAACTATGTAGTTATCACCAGTTCAAATCGTCTCTGAAACACACAAAGGCTGACTAGTAATATCGATGACTGGCCTAGGTAATCAAACTAGTTGCTTTTTCGACTTTATGGCTGTAGGCAGTGATTTCAAAATCCTATCCGATATGAAAGAAAAATAACGCCTTCGCTCCAGGTGCTGAATACCATCTATCTGAAGCCTCTGACCTACACTGTTAGGCTAATAGCAATTTCCCTATCAGTCGC